TATCATAGTGTTTTTTGATAATCAGCACCTTGTTCACACCTCCTGTCCACCTTCGTATGTGAAGCTTTTGTTTACACAGTTTGACACCAATTACCTTGATTGGCTTGAGTACGACAATGAGGGGATTAGTTACGCCTGGACGCACACAGGCACCTTACCTGTGTCAATAGTGGGCAAAGTAAATAGATATGTTTTGATTACAGTTGTGGTGATCAGCTTGGGTTCAATGATGCACTTGTTAATTATGACAATTATTTGCAATTTTTTCGGCGTGAAATTTTAATTATTGAACTGATTAGCTTGTGTATGACAATTTGCTTGGATAATGAAATAATCCTATTCAATCGTTTAACTTGGTCAATTGGCTTAATATTTATTCACTTTTCAGTGCAAAATTTATGGTAAAAATCACAAATGGCTCGTTCTATAAAAATACGTCTCAAAATTCATACCATCTTTCTCCACATGGCTCTCAAAATCTTTCTTCAGCAGACAAGAACGAGACTGGTAAACTCAAACACAGTATAAAATACGTAACCGTATTAAAGAAACAAATCAAAAGGAAACAATTACATATATTTAATATTTTTGTTTATTTTTAATTTACAATCTATCCAGGGAAAAATAGTTTACGGTTATTAGTCAAGCATTTAGTCTACTTCCGTTTCCAAAATGGCGACCATCGAAGAAGGAATGTAAACATGTGCTGAAGAAAGATGGCAATAACTATCAAAGAATATATTCTATACGTCAATTTATTTGAAAAAAAATTTCATATTAAATTCATAAGTAAGTGAAATAAATTACTTTTAGTAAAGTCATTAAGTAAACATGTCAAAAGAAAACAAAAGTGCAAGCTTGAAATTTGCTAGCTACGATGTATTATCAATACATGAAGCTCTATACATCTATCTTTGGACTCGGTATGGAGCAATCGGCTATTCTAATTTTCGGCTATTCGGATAAAACTATGCTGACAACTTGACTATTCGATAAAACGGGAACCACTATAATACCACCCCTGTGTTCACCGAGTATGATCTTGCTGTACTAACAGATCATGTATGACGTCACCGACTTGTTGGACATGCAGTTTAGGGAAACAGAGGAGTGGATCAATCTTTTTCATAATTTGTTAATGTTTACAAGAACGTAAAAACTTTTTAATTTTTTTTATATAAGATGGTAATTAAAGTTAAAAAATTGTCAAAAAATTATACAAGAATTAATGCTTTACACATATTGCACTTATATAAACGGAGACTATGATGTAGTTAAACAGAGTCATGTGACCATGTGTCCTTCATCCCCTTAAAATGAATTCATACAAACACCCAGCATATCGGACCTTTATGGCACTCTAAACAGATATTTTAAAATATACTGTACATGTATTACGAAATACACGTATCAAGACTTCAAGGACAATTTTTTCTATAACAAAATTAAGCTATCTGTGTTTAAGCTGAATGCAAGTATTTTACATTTTTTTAAATGATGAAAAATTAATAAAGAAAAAAAAAACAAGAAAGAACAAATGTTTGAGAGTTCTGACTATATACTGAATTGCGATTGACTTAAAAAGAACATTACTGATAGCCCCCACCCCCCTTCAATGGTTTTTTTTTTTTCCTTTACCGTGTTATACTTGAATTCTTAATAATGAACTTGAACATCCTAACATTACTTGTATTATATTATCTATCGCAGTGTTACTGCTAGTGATGTTCCAATCATCGATTATAATCGAAAATCAGTCGATTGTTGGCATAATCCAAGTGCTCGATTACAAAATTTCTATTCCGATTAATCGGGTTATTTATTTTATTTTACAAGCGTAATAGTTTTAAGCCAAATATTCCAGCCGCGACTTTTCTATTAACTTATTTGTGTATCGCTATGGCGCAGACGAACAGACATTATATTCATACCCGGGTAACAACGCTAATTCCCGGGTATGGACATACTTTGGATTCTACAAAATGAATGAAGAACCAGCTGGACTAGATCGAACATTCTATCGTTAAAATATTGTCTTAAGGACTAGGGCTTGTCCCGAAACACAGTTAGATTATTCTAACTACAGCTGGACCACCACAGAAAGTAGTTATTCATCCATTCTTACCATTTGATAAACTAAATTGACAGACTTTGTAAATGTCCGATTATAATTGATAATTTGTTAGTTACTGTAGCCCGATCATCGATTATGAAATTCTTACCGATTCCCATCACTAATTATTGCATATTAATTCTAATGCACGAAGAATGTTTATAGAGGGCGGAGCCCTCTCACGGGCCCGAAGGGCCCGTGAGAGCGAAGCTCTCCCTATAGGTAACACGTATGTATGTAAAATATATTGAATTCTATTGTAAACTATATTTTTATTACAATACCTATGGAACTAAGAACCTTGTCGCCAATATGGCGTCCATAGTCTTTTCCATCTTGAATCTCGCGACAAATTCCCGCATAAACGAGATGCTGAAGAATCGCAATTTTAATTCCAATCCTGCGTGAATGAAGTTTTAAAAATTCTAATAATCAAAAACACCCTTATAGTACACATCCTTGTTACTTTCGTTTTCATCTAGCCTAACTTGCACTCGATCGTCATAGACCTGACATGTGACGTCATTCATTGACTGCATGAATCAGTGGAGACTGTTGAATTTTTAACAACCTGTAATAATTGATATTTCATATGCATACTTTCTTTTTAAAAACAAATTTATTCACCTTTTAATAAACCTTAATATGTTTTTGGTGAAACAAAAAACAGTTTAACGAATTCCAGTGACGTCACTGTCTAGACTGCGTAGTACGTACTATGGAGGGGCGGATCTTTCTGTGGCCCCTTCCACCAGACTTTAGGGAACAGGAACAACTCTAATTTATTTGTTAATAAAATTTATTAATTACGAATGTCTTCAGGATTATTTTCAATACACAAACTAGAAGTATAAGATTTTTTTGTGACTTGGTACAATTTTCCTCTTGAATAATACATTTTAAAAATGTTTCAGTATAAAATATTGCATGAAAAGCTTTACTTAATTCTGGTATGAACTCAAGAAGGGGGAAGGGGTGTGCATTTCATTTTTTTTTAAATTTTTAATTTATTAATTAATTCATTCTTGTCTTTGATTACCTGCTTGATCCTATATACATTTGCAGGTGGAGGCCTGTGTCTCATATTTGTTGTTGTGAATTTTTTTTCTCAAAAGTTTTATCATTTTTTGTAAGTGTCAAAATTCAATTTCGTGAAGCTCACCATCAAAAGAAGAATCTTTGGACATGTCTGAAGCTTAAACTACCACATCAAACACATTGTTCCATTTATGGATACGCTTTAAATGATAAAAGAAATTGATTTCTAATCTTTATTTTAAAAAGTACTTTTAAAAATATAGAACAGAAAATTTATTCAGCCAGTTGGAACCTATGGTGGGTTATGATAGTGTATAAAGTCCAAAATCATATGTGAAAAACTAAGTTAAACAATACATTGAGGGACTGCAACACATGACATGTATATTAATAAAGTTTAATGTTCTATTGGCTTAAAAATACCCCTGCAAATACAGAATCTTTATTTGACATTACCCATGGTGATCCATATATAAAGAGGTCAATGTTGTTGAATAGTACTAAAATATCTTTTTCTTTAATCTTCCATATATGATCCTTTTATTAATTATGTGGTGAATAGGGATGTCACAAAACATCAATACTTCCCAGAAATGTACCCTATTATTCACAAGTTTCGGTTTTAAAATTCTAATAGTTTTCGCATAAACAATTTAATATCTGTAAAAAAAAAATCCTTTTATTGAGTTAATTTTTTTTCCAGAAAAGATTTTTATCTTGCTTTTAGTTTTAGAAAGCACTAAACACTTTTCGATCAGATTAGTTTTTTTTAAAAATGCAGAAACGTTAAATTTACTCCACATTTTTTCCATTAAAATTAAGAAAATAATTCTCGGAAATTTTGCGATGCTGATACATTTAGCCCTCACGAAACACAGCCCTAGTGTTGGTAAGATGATCAGTTTCCAAGTGTCCTGATAACCCAGGAGTTAGATCATCTTTCTGTAGTTTGGGTCCCAAGTTCGACTTCCGATGTAGTCCCTGACAATAAATTGTCCTTATTTGTATTCGATGTCATGACCATGCATTGGAAGTAAAAGATGAGAATTAAATTACTTGATTTTTCTGGATTGGGGTTTTTAAATCAAGTCGTGAAAGATAAAGAAATGTTGCTCAGGCATATTCGTTTATTATTTATTGGGCAGCTACATAGGTGAAAGAGTTAACGTTTAAGAGTTCTTGGGCTTTGGTAGGTTGAATCCTTGACTGGTCCAGTGCACACTCTTTCCCCGTTATGCTACTTGATTTTGAGTGCTCTGGCTAGGCAATTCATGTTGAAATATCTTAGAAAAAGTATTCCAGATTTATAAAACTAAATACCCTTAAATTTCTTTATTTGAAATGAAAAATATTTGAGGTAAGAGAACTTACAGCTTCTCTTTTTTTTCTTTTTTTTTTTAATAAAAAAGACTGAGGTCTTTGTAATGATTTTCTGACACTAACTACACACAATTTAAACAATAAAATGTAGAAATGTTCACTTGATGGCTCCGCCCTCACCAACGGTCACACCGTCTAACATATTATCAATATACCGTTCATTCTGACTTTGTGGGCAGAATTATGAATTTCATAATACTAGAGAAGATAAGCTACTTATCTTCACGTAGGCAAATTTAATAAAAATTTCAGATAATATGCCGCAAATTCTAAGGAACATTATATCAAATTTTTCTGAACATGTTTTCCCGTAAGAATTTTTATGCAGTAAACCCGCGACCAACCTTAAACTGTGCTTACGATCAAACAAGTTCGAAAGTCCCTCGTTCTCTCGTCTAATTATCATAAATATGTGTTATATTCAATTGCTCTACTACTTGCTGCTGAATAATAATAACAAGATACTTACTGTCTTACAGCTCTTTACCCCTGCTAAACGCCGCCATTGTCCTCCCACAATGCATTGCGTGTATCGCTACACCGTATTGTGGGATATTCCAATTGACATTTATAGATACTCAAAATGTTGAAAGCGAGGGACTTAGACCGACTGTTCTAAAAATAGATTTTGCGTTGTGGGACATTTTTCTATATATCCTTATGGGTCAAAAAAAATATTTTTTTTTGTTTTTTATGGTAGGAATAGCATTTCCAACATTTCTGTGAAGTTTAGACTACATGGTTTATGGGTCAAAATATAGATGACCCATAAACCACCTAAGGATCCCACAACGTGAGTCTGAGATACCCATAACACGCCTCTTGTATAACTATATATATATATATATATATATATATATATATATATATATATATATATATATATATATATATATATATATATATATATATATTAGAAATCATATTAGATAATTTATAAATCTTCATTAAAATATAAATTCATTCTGTGAAAATTGAGATATGAAGAAAGAAACTAGCCAAAACAACCGTTTTCTTGAATTTTAAGTTCTTTTGCATCAATATCATTTACGTGTTATATAAATGTACTTTACAAAACCTTTTTTTCATTTGTCCTGAAATACAAGTATCTTTTCTATGGCATAGTGTCTGATAATCATTCAAAAAAAAAACAAAAAAAAAAAAAAAAAAACCAAAAAAAAAAAAAAACAAATCTTCTATGGAATCTAGAGATTACAATTTTCAAAATTGTCATCAACAATACAGATACTTAGAATTTATTTTTTAGAACAAAAAGAAAATAGTTAGAGAGACAATATATCTAATTATACGAGTTTTGGTGAAGTATTTATACTTATGTATAGATATAGTTTGAACGAGAGGCATAAGTAGAGTCTCTTTTCTTTGAGAGGAATATTTAAGCATCTTATAGGTTATCTTATAGCCGACCGTTATTGTGAAATATTCAGTACATCAGGATATAACCACTGACATAACATGAGCATGCATTTATTTCTGATTCAGTTCGCTACGTCTTAAAAATAATGGTTATGTAACAAATCACGCGCAATGAAATTATATTTAATTTAGGTTTTTCTTTATAGTATTTAAAACATTAAGGAAAGACTTCATATGGAATTTATTGTTACATATAAGACTTTTTTTTAAAAACAAAAAAAAAATCTTCTTTTTTTTTTACACTTTGTTTCTCCTTTTGTTTAATTGTATGATGTAATCATTCACTTCTACAGGAAATTAGTGAAATTCTCCTGAAATTGCAATCTGGACTATTTTTCACATAGCTAGTTTTGATTTATGAATCCTTCTTGATGAATTACAGTTAAAGTTTGTATTTCATACTACAATGGGATTTTCTTTTGGACAAAATTAATGCTAATATCTGCGTTTAATTAGTTTTGCTAATGCAGCAATACCAAATATACCAAAATGGTTGTTACAATATGTATATTATATTTATTAAATCATATGTGTTCCTATTAATTTTTAATGATCTAAAAGCAAAATATTTTACAATCAATATACCCAGTCGGATTGATGCATTTAACTGCCTTTTTTGCTATAAGATTTTTCATAATGTTGGCTGTTTCCATCTCCGGTGCTGTAAATATATTCGTCGGTAGAATGCTGACTTCAAGGTCATTATTATCAGAATTCAGAAAGCTCAATGCAAATTTAAGCTCCAAATAAAGATGAAATATATACAAATATATATACTAATGAAAAGCCGATGAATACATAATATATACAAATATATAATATTTGATCATTTCCCTCTTCTTTTGAGAATTCCATATAGATGTTATGTAATCGTAAGATGATTTTTATGAACAAAGCACTTAAATTACATGAAAGGCCGGTAGGTATGCTGGCATATTTTTGCAAACACTTGCCAGATGTTTATGTTGACCTGTAAGATAAATATGTCAACTTGTAAGATATTTATGTCAAATTGTCAGATATTAATGTCGACTTGTAATATATTATGTCTACCTTCTAGAAAATTACATGTATATATGCTGACTTGTCAAATAATACATCGACCTGTTAGATCTGTATGTTGACTTACCAGATCTGTAAGCTGACTTCTCAAATCTTTATGTGGACAGAATAGAAATATTGTCAACTGATTTCATAAACTGATTTGGCATGGACGCATTTTCAAATAGTGTTTTTCAACACGTGAATGTGAGAAGTCAATAAAAAGATCTGACAAGTCGTTATAAATATTTGACAAGATTGGATAGAACTATGCCACCATATATAGGCAGATAAAGACAAAAGATCTTGAAGCAATTTCTTAAGAAAATCAGAATCTACAAAAGCGATATACTGTCTAGTAGTTCAGTGGTGAGTTCAAGTCTATTCTCTTAATAACTTACCCCTAATAAACAATTGATATTTATGCAGTAAATCGGTGTATTCAGAAAATGAAATTGCATGTACAATGAATACAAATTGCAAATGTGCAATCTGCATGCAACTTGAGTCTTTTCATGTTTGTAGGACATGCATTAAATCATATCAAGGCAAAGTATGGTTATATATATTCTTTTCAAATGGTTTTCAGTTGATATTTATAGCTTGCATAATTGGGAAGAGATAAATAAGGTCAGGAAGTGATTAGTGCTGATCTAGGAAATTATGCACTGTAGATAGTGCTTGACCAATTTAGAGAGGCCTATAGACTCAAGTAGTTGTTCAAGAGTTTCAAGGATTCTGAAAAAAAAAAAAAAAAAAAAAAAAAAAAAAAAACATCTAGCACAATTATGTTTTTATTTTCTGTTTTTGCTCTGTACATTCAAGCAGTTAGTAATAATAAAAAAAAAAATAAAGGCAAAGGATAGCAAATGTATAGATGACTCATTTTGAATTCCTTGCAATTATAATCTTTTATTTCGGAATTCGGGATATAAACAGTTCGATTTCTTTTATGATTGGCATTGATGAATAATCTTATAATTGTAATTTATATACTGTCAAAATCGTGCAGAAGAAAAACAGTTTTCTTATAAAGTATAAAAATGTGATTTTTATAAATCATCACTCGCTAAAGGTGGCCCATTGCTATTATTTTTTCCAAAAATATTGCCATGCGTTGTTTGTAAAACTTCGAATTTTTAAAGTTTTTTTTTTTTTTTTGAGGGTGAAAATAATAAATCCAAATTTAATATGTTTATGTTATTTTTACACGAAAGAAAACAGACAATTTAAATAAACGAGACCTGAGGTTGATGCCAAACAATAAAGATCAATGCCCTTCTCAAATGCATTCTTCTTTTCCTGTTCGATATATTCCTGTGTATGTGTCAAACTACTGTTTTTATACGTGTAATGATTATCCAGTATCTCTTTATCTAACGATTTCCTTACTTCAGGATAAGATTCCTAGCCCTGTTTACTTCTGTAGTCTTTCAAAAATGCATGATATTTTTTCCATTCTGGACCTGTACATAAAGTCGTTATGTTTCCCTTTTTTCGCTAACAAAAAGAAAAAAAAACCTTTTATTTCAAAGCTGTGGAGTCAATTTGATGGTTTTATCACTGAAATGTATTGTAGCCCTAAAAATCCTTCAGAGAGAATAGCGATATGTCTGCATATTTACTTCTGCAGTTAGCCCTCTATGAATTTAAAAAAAAAAAAAAATCCCCTATCGGGTTTCAAGAACCAGGACAGAACAATAACGAATTCATATCTTAATATTGCTTAATGATATCGAGATGTTGAAACATTAACAAATTCCATGATTGTCTATCCTGTATTTCATACACTGTAACTGTAAAAAATGATAACAACGTAGACCTCGAAAGCTACACTGTGTATTAGAGTTATTTTTCTTGCATTGAAACGACAGAAAAAGAATTTAAATAACCCAGGTGTACATATATGCACAGAAATATAGGCCATTCTTTGTTAGCAAAGGCATTGGTTGTAAATATAGCTACTCATGTGTGAAACGTAAATATCTAGATCATATGTTATCAGGTACATGTAAGATGGTGTATTCCCATTTTGTACACTTTTGATAATTAGGTATAGAAGACAAACAACTCAAGAATGTAAGACATACAATGTAGATCTTTGTATGAAATTGTACTTATGAGTTTTTTTTCTTTGCAGCTTATATGACAGAGCAGAGAATCATATTACCCCAACACACGATTTTTCTTATCAATATATATCTATGTAAAAACGGGCATTCAAAGCAGATATTCAAAACTTTGATATAAATAATGTGAAATGTGAATAATCTTTTATACTCATGACAAATAATTGGCATATTACATTTTAATTGATTTCTGCAAAATTTTAAAGTGTACTAGTCAAATTTTAAGAAAGTTATACTTTAGTAGACATGTGCTAATTAATCATTAACTTCAAATGTGTTACATGTTTTACAGTCCCTGAAACGTTCTACTTTCCCACTTGAACGGTGAGCGAACGCTGAACGAACGGTGAACGAACGCTGAACGAACGCAGAGCGAACGGTGAGTGAACGATGTGTGAACGCTGAACGCAACTTGGTGAACGATGTGTGAACGCTGAACGGTGGGCGAACGCAGAACGCGAACGGAGCGCAAACGCGAACGCAAAGTGAACGGTGAACGAACGGTGAACGCAAGATGAACGATTTATTCGGAATGCCTCTGATCTTTTCCTTGCATTCAAACTATTCTATTGTATGTATGCCTGGTGCTAAAAAATAAATGAATAATGAATAAATAAACAAATCAATGAAAATTGTAATACGATACATACACATTAAGTAAAATTGTTAATTTAAGTTTCTTACAATATTTTCTGCACATATGTACGATGTTTAAATTCAACTTTTAACAACACGATTTTTATCTCTGTAAAACATTGTAATTGTTACCGAACGCTGTAGTATAAAAGATAAAATTAATCTAGTTGTAAAATAAATATGTTTATTCTTATTTGATATATAAAATCATTACAAATAATGTGGATTTTAGAAGAGCAAACTGCGGACTTATAGAATGAAT